TTCTGAAAAGTCACCTGGTTGAAGTAATATAATGCTTATGCAATTCTTTATTGTCAAAAATAGGACAAGAGCTCTCTTAAAGAACATCAGGACCACTAGAAATCATTCCTTGGAATGTGTCTTTTTTATTTTATGTCAGAAATTCTAAACAGTTTTTTAGAACAAAAATAACTTTAGTGGATAAATATAACTTAATATTTATATGGAATCTTTCTTCAGATTATACAATTCAGTATTTGTATTTACAAGGATTATTTACATTTATGGAACTGGTTTTAGTGTTCTAAAAAGTAATTTCTGAGAAGATATTTTCTTCTCAGAAGTTTTCTTACAGAGGACCCAGGTTCAGTTCTCAATACCCACAAGCATCTATAACACCAGTTTCAGGGAATCCAGTGCCTTCTTCTGGACTCTGAGGCAGATGCACTGCACTACAGACAGACAGACAGACACACACACACACACACACACACACACACACACGGAGAGAGAGGGAGGAGAGGAGAACACCCATATACACAAATAAATCTTTTAAAAATTACAAAAAGGCTGGATAGTGGTGGCGCATGACTTTAATCTGGCGGATAGATCTTTGTGAGTTCAAGGCCAGCTTGGTCTAGAAAGTGAGTTCCAGAACAGCCTCCAAAATAACACAGAGAAACCCTGTTTCGAAAACCAAAACAAACTTTTAAAAAATGAAAATATATTGTTTTGACACATTAAAAACAGTGTAGAACTTTTTATATAATTTTGTTTGCTTTGTCAGCACAGGCACTGAATCTAGGACCTTGAACATTTGGTCCAACTGATTTCCTTTTTTAAAAATGTTTTTGGTGTGGGGAGGGGAAGAGAGGGGAAACTGAAGTTGGGATGTAAAATAATTAATTAATTAAAAAATTATTTTCCCACTTAAAAAGTGTTTTTGTTACTTGTAAGACAGAATCTCACTAGGATGCACAAACTAGTCTTGAACTTAACTAAAGTCTAGGCATTTATCAAACTTGTGAACCTCATGTCTCATCCGCTCAAGTAGCTTTGCCAGCAGACTTGCTAGTATAAGATTTTTAAAAGGATTTATTTATTTACAGCCAGGTGTGGTGGTGCATCCCTTTAATTCCAGGCAGAGGTGGGCAGGTCTCTGAATTTGAGGTCAGCCTGGTCTACAGAGCAAGTTCTTAGACAGACAGGGCTACACAGAGAAACCTTGTCTTAAAAAAGAAAGACAGGTTTATTCTATTATAGCTTCTAGTAAAAGATTCTTGCCTAACATTTTCTATTCAAAATAAATTCTGTAGATTCCTTTCCCTTCTCTTCTCCCCCTTTTTGTTGTTTGTCTTTAAGATTATAATGTATAATATGTTGGACTTTTGGGGGGTGGAGGTGCAGGCAGGGGCTGTTTCAAGACAGGATTTCTCTGTGTAGCCTTCGCTATACTGGAACTTGCTCTGTAGACCAGGCTGGCCTCCAACTCATAGATAGAGATCCTCCTGCCTCTGCCTCCTGAGTTCTAGCATTAAAAGCCTTGATTTCATAAAACCAGACATGGTGGCACATGTCTATAATCCCAAATGTTCTGGAGACTGGGGCTGACTTGAGCTCATGAGTTTGAGATCAGCCTGAGCAACATAAGGAGATCCAGTCTCAAAAACAAACAAACAAACAAGTGGGCAGTGGTGGTACATGCCTTTAATTGAATCACTTTGGAGGCAGAGGCAGGCAGATCTCTCACTTTGAGACCAGCCTGGTCTGCAAGAGCTAGTTCCAGGACAGCCTCCAAAGCCACAGAGAAACCCTGTCTTGAAAAAAAAAAACAAAACAAACAAAAAACAGTGTGGTTCATGCTTGACATCTCAGCCAAGGGAAGGCAGAGGCATATGAGGGTCAGGAGTTCAAGGTCATCTCAGTTACATAGTGAATTTGGAGCCATCTTGGACTGCTTGAGATTCTCTCTGAATAAATAAATTTGCTCAAAATTTAGTGATCATTTTCAGTCTGTGGGCACGGTCTTTGTTCTACTCAAGGTGTTATTTCTGTATTTTTGTCTTTGATAGGTTGTTTTTCTTCCATTTATTCTAATCTTTTCAGCAGTAATAAACTATCTGTTTCCTTTATTATTTTCTCTTTAATGTTCATTCTCTTTGCAATCTGGAAAAATAACATTGCATGATCTTTGTGCTTTTTTGATTGCTCTGGTTTTAATTGATACTGAGTTTTCTTGCATCCTCCTTTCTTTGTGTGTATTTAATAAGCAACTAGGCAAGCACATTACCACCCTCTGCTTCCCTCTCCTCTAGTATGTCTTTTTGTCCTTTCAAGTAAGTTACATTTTTTCATTTCAGACTGTTACCTTCTTAATGCTTTTCTTCCTTATTGACATACTTTATCCTGCTTTTATACGAGTTAGGCAGTATGTTGAAGAAAGAACCCTTAGCAAGTCCCAGTCATTTTATGTTTGTGCTTTTCTTTTCTCTCCTCCAGTTTCTGTTTATTACCATCTTATTTTCTAGAGAAAAATCTCTTGAATGTAAGGAAAGTTATAGTGGTTTTCCAAGGATAAAACAATATGAGATCATTAAGTGGCTAAATTACACAGATATAATGCAGCTCTGAGATGGTGAGTAAACTCTTAATTAATATGGAGTAGATGTTAAACCTAGCCACAATTAAAGAGATTACAGAGGTGATACATTATGAGTTGGGGAAGATCTGTGTTGTAATAATCCTCTGTAGTAGGAATTCAATTTAGCATTCCCTTTCCTAAAAATGTCCTTAGCCCATTTCTTTGTTCACTGTTATGTGTTGCTATATTCCTAACATTTGCTTAATGCCTGGCACATCTTAGGGAATACATTTTGTGTTTTGTGGTGAAGGGGGTGGTTTTTCGAGACAGGGTTCCTTTGTGTAGTCTTGGCTATCCTGGAACTAGCTCTGCAGAGCAGGCCGGCCTTGTACTCAGATTTGCCTGTCTTTTCCTCCTTAGTACTGGGATTAAAGGTGTGTGTCACTATTGCCCGACAGAGACTAAGTTTTAAGAACATCAGATGGATGAACAAATATGTTATACTATTCTTGTAAGCCAAGTCTTCTTGAGTATTAAAAATTCCAAATAGCCGGGTGTTGGTGGCGCATGCCTTTAATCCCAGCACTAGGGAGGCAGAGGCCGGTGGATCTCTGTGAGTTCGAGGCCAGCCTGGTCTACAAAGAGAGTGCCGGGATAGGCTCTAAAGCTATACAGAGAAACCCTGTCTGAAAAAAAAAAAATTCCAAATAGTTCACTAAAAATATCTTTAGAATTCTTAGGTCTCTTTCAAAATCAACTCTCTGACTCTTCAGGGGTTATATTTCTTTTACCTTTAATGGAATAATTTTTCTTCTCTTAGTAGTTATACCTTATCCTCCCATCCTTTAGCTCATCCTATAAGAAGCAAGGTTTATGTAGACTTAATATTTGCTATTAAGTAATAATTAATTGCTGTTGACAATAAACTTTCTACTTAGGTAATGGGTGTACTTGTCAAATCTAAAGGTATACTGTGGATTAAGGTACTTCTTGCTTTAAAATCTCAGTTACTTGCATGTGCTCACTTGGTACAACCCTATTCTTCTATAATAACTTTTTTTTTTTGCCCCAGGACCCTAGTTTTGTAGACACTGTTATGACAGAATAGGTGGGAAGTCACAACTTGCCTTGTTCTGTGTGAATCATTCCTTGTTAAATAATCACTTTCGAGGATGCTCTGTGACATCACTGACTTGCTCTTTATACACTATTGTCTTACAAAAGTTTGTTTTGTTTTTTAAACAGATATAGATAGATAGTACACAGAGGAATAAACAAGAACAAACTTTTAGCTTTATCATAGAGAAATACCTGAATGGTACACATTGGTTGCTGGGTTTCCTAGGTGATGTTTCCCTCTGGGTCTCCTAAGCCAGAAGACAGTGGAAATACAAATTATCCTTTTAAAGCCATTCTCTCTTCCATGTTGGTGTAAAGCCTTGGTGTTTTTCATTCTGTTCTTTAAATCTTACCATAACAAAGTAGAGATTCATTCTACTTTTGGGAGGTAGATTTTCAGCAGAGTCAAGGAAAACGTTTTTCTTCCTAAATATTTTAGTGGGAAAAGCTATTGAACCATTTCTGCAGACATGATTTCCAACCTGAAGTTTGATAAGAATTTTGTAACTTCTCTGGGCTCAAATCATAAGTTGGGTCCTCTCTGAGAATTGTTTCCTCTGGTTGCAGTTACACCCTAATTTACATTTTCCCTAGTTCTGCTTTCTTTTTTCATTCCTTTAACCATAATTAGGCTTTTTTCTTTAATGATAGAATGACAGGGAATCTGCACAACTATTTTTAGTAGGGATTGGCCCTATTAGAAGAGAGCTATTAAGGCTTTTGCTAGATCATGTTCTGAGTCACTGATAATTCAAGCAGAGAGGATATGTGGCAGAGTTGTTGCAGCTTCAATCTGTGATGTGCTGGGGCCTGTATTGATTCAGACAGGGTTGCCAGCTGGCAGTGGTAGCAGAAGTTAAGTCTTTCAGGAAGAGGGAACTAATTGTGGAGGACTACTAATTAACACCATAGATTCTTGGGCAACTAGAAATACTGTATTCTTCCCTGAGGAGATAGAGTGGGAATTACCTTCTCCAGGTCCAGTGTGACATGGTTAGAAAAACAACTGAATTTGTCTTGCCCATTGAAGTATGAAAGCTACACAGGAGGAGTCCTTTTTTTTTTTTGTTTTTGTTTTTGTTTTTGTTTTTTGTTTTGTTTGTTTGTTTGTTTTTGGTTTTTCGAGACAGGGTTTCTCTGTGGCTTTGGAGGCTGTCCTGGAACTAGCTCTTATAGACCAGGCTGGTCTCTAACTCACAGAAATCTGCCTGCCTCTGAGTGCTGGAACTAAAGGTGTGGGACACCACCGCCTGGGTGAGGAGTCCATTTTGTATGAGAGTTTATTTCAGGCTATTTTCTTGCCTATATTGTTTTCTTTAACAGCTTTTTAAATTTTTCTTTTTCCAGCAATGATGTTGTCCACTGGACATGTACTGATCAAGGAGGCAGGTCTGAGAACATAGCTGAAGCTGAAAACAGGAAAGCTGGAGGCAAGGAAGAGCCTTGAATCTTGAGTTGGGACGTTGACTCTAAGATGTCCTTGAGCAGTGGAGCCTCCGGAGGGAAAGGAGTGGATGCAAACCCGGTTGAGACATACGACAGTGGGGATGAATGGGACATTGGAGTAGGGAATCTCATCATTGATCTGGACGCCGATCTGGAAAAGGACCAGCAGAAACTGGAAATGTCAGGCTCGAAGGAGGTGGGGATACCAGCTCCCAATGCTGTGGCCACACTACCAGACAACATCAAGTTTGTGACCCCAGTGCCAGGTCCTCAAGGGAAGGAAGGCAAATCAAAATCCAAAAGGAATAAGAGTGGCAAAGACACTAACAAGCCCACCCCAGGGACTTCCTTGTTCTCTCCAAGTGAGGGAGCAGCAAACAAGAAGGAAGTGCAGGGTCGCTCAGGAGATGGCACCAATGCAGGAGGCCTGGTTGCTGCTATTGGCCCAAAGGGCTCAGAGAAGGCTGCTAAGGCATCACGCAGTATAGCTGGCTCCAAAAAGGAAAAGGAGAACAGCTCATCTAAGAGCAAGAAGGAGAGAAGTGAAGGAGTGGGGACTTGTTCGGAAAAAGATACTGGGGTCCTCCAGCCAGTTCCCCTGGGAGGACGGGGTGGTCAGTATGATGGAAGTGCAGGGATGGATACAGGAACCGTGGAGCCACTTGGGAGTATAGCTATTGAACCTGGGGCAGCGCTCAATCCTTTGGGAACTAAGCCGGAGCCAGAGGAAGGGGAGAATGAGTGTCGGCCACTAAAGAAAGTCAAGGCTGAAAAGGTAAGAGGTGGCCAGATCTGGCTACCCACTGCCCGTCAAAACTGCCCTGGACTAACTGCCAAGTGTTGTGTGTACTCTGTGGGAGGCTCATTAGTTTGTGGGTAATGACCAATTACAAGGTCAGAGCAGCTGGTAATGATAATGTGTTTTGTTCCAAATTAAAGGATTCCCTCAGAGTCATTTGCAGCAGGCCCAGACCTCTTGGAATACAAGTTTGGTTTGGGGGTCAGCTACTTGGTAGAATAAATTTTCTCACACCTTGTTATTGTCACATGTCAGATACTTGTTAGATGCAAGCGTTAAATCTTCATGTGATTTCCTGCTTGGCTAGAGTTTCATTATCAGAGTCATAATAGTTTATAAATGTAATGGACTTTCAGTTACATTTTCAAGCTGAATTTTTTTTTTTTTAATTCATTTAACTTCATCTGCCTTGGTGTCAGATCCCCTGGAATTGGAGTTACAGACAGTTGTGAGCTGCTATATGGGTGCTGGGAATTGAACCCAGGTCCTCTAGAAGAGCAGTCAGTGCTCTTAACTGCTGGTCCATCTCTCCAACCTCCTAACTGATGTTCTTAATGGGATAAATGGTACTGCTGGGTCTCTTGCAGGACAAAGAGTTAATTGTCATGGCCTATCTACTAAATGTTCTATTGGTAGCTACCAAAAAACAAAGCAATATAGATACCAGTCTAGTTAACAAGGGGCAGGAGGTACTGACTATACTATACAGCACTTAATCAGGCCTTATGAGTTACTGTGGTAGTTTTGAAAGTTTGGCCTAGAAAGATTCTTTGGCCCCTCAAAGTATTGCTCTCTGCCAGTTATCTCCTGCAACCATCAGAAATCAAAGTCTCCTGGTGGTTTTATTGCTGCCAAATAGTGTAATGATCCCTCCCCTTCTGCTTGATTTGGAATCAAAGGTGCCTGCAGACCCAGGAGGCTTTAGGACTGAGTTCCTCCCTCCAGGAAAGTGATCTTAGTTGATCTTTCAGGAAATGAACTTGTAGGGCTATAAGAGAATGTTTCCAGTCTAGGGTCACCTCAGGCTGCCTCAAACTTGAGCAGTCTACAGTTTCCTACAAAGCAGCTGGCCTGTTGATGAGCTGTTCTTTGGCTCTTGATTTTCTGCTTTGCTCTGCGCACCCTATGCATTCAGCTGATCGCAGCAGATGCAGCATAAATTGATTTCTCTGTAATTACATCAGCTGCAGCAGGGAATACGTATTTCCATATGTAAGTGTTAATAAATAAAGGCTGGATATATGTATTTGGGTGGTGGTGCCCTCTTATTGCCTGGATTTTAGTGGTAACTTGTAACTTATGCTTTTTTTGCTGTAGGTATTTTGGTTTCTGTCTTTAGCACATCTGTAGCTTTTAGCAACATCTGGGCACTTTTGGTAACAGGGCTGTGAATTTCTTCCAGTTATATAACACAATGGTTGATTCCCTTTTGCCAGTGGCAGCTGCCAGAGAGGCTGTCTGTGTTTGGGTGGCAGATGCTGTAGTCCACCTCGGTTGAGTCAAGTTCCAGCTGGTTATTGGCATGGTTTATCCTGTGCTGGCTGTGATTTGTCATTTTCTCTGGGGTGCAGATGGATAATGCTGTTTTAAAGAGGCCTGGGAGTACCAGGAGTTCTTGCTACTGTTCCAGGCCCATTAGACTGCTCCCAGCATCTGGCTTCAGAAGTCCCTGCCATATTTTCATGTTCACAGTCATTGTTCTTCCTGTGTGGAAAGGTACTTCTGAAGGTGGTCTTCATTTTCTCATCATGTAGAGTACTTGTGTTGAAATCTTCTAAATTCAGTTGCAGTCTGTGGGTGAGGATTAATATTGCTTAGCTTTGTGTTGTGTTCGTGATTTTCTTTAAGGAAGAAATAGAATTGGTTTTCTCTTATATAGCTGCATAGACTGTTTGGGTGGCCACCTGTAAGCTAAATGGCCTGGAAGATACTGTACTTTTAGCTATTACATCTTGGTGCTATCAAGTTTTACCCTTTAATGTAACTTTGATGTAAGCTTTACCTCCCTGGTAGACTAAGAATGGAGAGATAAAGGGGAGAATGATAGTGCTTCATATTTTGGGAGAAAATAATTTCTGGAAAGTATTTTGAGAAGCATACAATTTGTTGTGCAGTCCAATGTTACCAAAAGCACAAATTTACTCTTTTTTGTTGTTTGTGATTTTTCTTTTCATACAGATCTTGTTAATGTAAACCTGGCTTGCCTTGAACTTACTATATAGACCAATCTATTCTTTTATTTGTTTGGTTGATTGGTTGGTTGGTTGGTTGGCTTTTGGCTTTGTTTTTTGGGGTTGCCCCGCCCTGGCCTTCGTGGAACTTGCTTTGTAAACCAAGCTGGTCTCAAACTCTGCCTCCAGAGTGCTAGAACTAGTGCACCACCACATTTGGTTAGACCAGGCTGTTCTTGAACTTGAGGTAGTTCTACGTCTGTCTCTGCCTCTGTAGTGCTGAGATGACTAGCATAAACCACCTACCTGGCTGAGTCTGTTTTCTAAAAATACTTACCTTCTGCTCTGGAACCTCATTTGGGCACACTTGCTCAAAGGTGCTTTACTGTATTGTCTTTGGTTAATAAAATATTTAAGTAAATGTTTGGAAGTTGCTAGGAGATGAACACACTCTGCAGGGAAAAAACATTTCTGGAATGGAAAGAGGGGAGGAGGCAAAGTGAAAGAAAGGAAAGGGTCTGGGGTTGTAGCTCAGTGGAAGAGTAGTTGTTGGCCAGAACACAAAGGTAGGGAGGGGTAGATAAAAAAGAAAAGATAGGAGCTTTGCAAGGAGCATCAGTTTTTGAGGACTTGGAACCCCAGGGTGTTGCATACAGTAGCTGCTCAGGGAGTGTTAATCCTTGCTGTAATTTAGTTTGCAAGCAGAGTCTTTGAAACCTCTTCAAGATTTTTTTCCCCCCTGAAATATGGGCTTGCCTCTGATATAACTAGTTTGGAATGTTACTTTTTGTAGGGACAATCAACAGAACCCAAACAGCAAATCATGTGTGATGTAATCAAGCTGGGAGCTATCATGAAGAGGGGAAACTCAAAATGTGGAAGATATCTTCACCAAGTATATCACATCCTCTGCTGCCTCTTTTTTTTTTTTTTTTCTCTCCAAGATTTATTTATTTTTATTTTATGTATTTGGGTGTTTTGCCTGAATGTATGTTTGTGTACATGTATTCAGCACCCAGAGACTAGAAGATGTAGAATTATAGATAATTGTTAGCCACTCTGTGGGTTCTAGGAACTGAAATTGGGTCTTCTGCCGCAACAATAAATGCTCTTAACCACTGAGTCATCTCTCCAACCCCAACTGTCCCCTTTTCCAAATAGGAGATGAGTCTGTGGTACTAGTTAGAATTGTCGTCCCATGCTGAGCATTAGCTAATCAGGGGTTGGATATTCAAATTACCTACCCCAGGTAATGAAAATTCCTTGTGACTGAAGAATTTTCTGTTAGCCTAGGATGTGTACTTCCCCCCCAGGGAATCCATGTTTGCTCCACCACACCTTCCTGGCAGAGTTTAATAGAGAGACTGAGATGGCTCTTAACAGCCATTGCTGTCCTGAATTGTTGAACACTCCTGAAGAGATGGGGGAGGGAATATTGAGGAATAAACACATGGAACCTCTGGCTTCTTCCTGCTTCCTTGCTTTTGGCTTGATTGATAGGTTGTTAGGTTAAAGATAGAAGGAGAGGTGAGGAGGAGGAGGCAGGATGCCTGTCTGAGTGTCCTGAGCTTACTGCTTTTGTTGCCACTCTGACAGGCAAGAAAAAAGGAATTCACAAACAAGACAGCAGTGACCTATCAGTGCTGACTGTCAGTGTGTATGTTCAGGAGTTTCAGATGAGGCATTTATTTACATTTTTTTTCAAGTCAGCTCTAGTGGTTAGGGTGTAGTTGCAATCCCAATCTTCCTTTTCCTTAGCAGTTGCTTTTGATTTTACACTCTGCTTTGGCAGTGTTTGGGTATCAGCTTCTGCAGCCTTGCTTATTTACCACTCTCCTCATTAATTTAGAATACAAAGAAAACATTTAAGGGTTCCTTAGCTTTTTTGCCTTCAGATTTTGGATTCTTTTTTATGTGTTCAGAGAGCATCTCCCTTTGCCCTTTCTAGTTTATGCCTTCCAGCTCATTTCTTTTGTGTTGCAACCCTTCATTGCCCAACCTAAGTCAGGTCTCTCTTCTTTCCCATCCGAGGCTTCCCTAATGCCTTCCTCCTGACTTGCTGTTCTTGTCTGTTATTGACAGGATAGCAGTCAGTCTTGTTTCCTGAAGCCAAATGTCCTAAAGCAATTTTCCTTCACCAGAAAAATAAAAAGCTGATTCTTACGTGGGTCCACGTTGCATTGACTAACTTAAGCATAATTTATTTGTATTCAGCAGCTCTTGTTTTCCTTATGGGTGAGCCCAGAAAAAGATTATCTTGTCCAGTTTCCCCATTTTGAAGACAGTAAGGTAATATTGGAGAGGTCATGGGACTTTCCCAGGCTATCAGGACAAAGAATAGCATAGTTGTTGTTTTTGTTTAAATTGTTTGTTTTTGTTTAAATTGTTTTTTGGGAGATTTTTTTTTTTTTTTTTTTTTTTTTTTTTTTGCTTTTGAGTCTGGATCTTTGTGCCTAGTGAGCCTTGAATTCACTTTGTATTCCAGGCTGGCTTCAAATTCACAGCAGTCCTTCTCCCTTGGTCTCCTGAGTGCTGGGATTACAGGTATGAGCTATCATGCCACACCTAGTTAAAACCAGTGTCCCTTCCCCCCAAAAAAAACAGGGTTTCTCTGTATAACGGTTCTAGCTGTCCTGTAACTCTTTTAGACTAGGCTGGCCTCTGTCTCCCAAATGCTGGAATTAAAGGCGTATGCCACCACTGCCCAGCAAAGACAATTTTTTGTTTTGTTTTTTGACCTGTCTGTGTGTCTGTGTATGTACTTGTGCAGGAACTTGAAGGTCAGATGTCCTGCTCTAGTACTTTGCTTTATTCCCTTGACATAGGGTTTCTCAGTTAAATTAGAGGTAGGCCGGCAGTAGCAAGCAATCAGTTTTTCTGTCTCCTTGACTCCATAACTCTGTGGTTGCAGGCACGCACAC